TCCTTGAGAAAATATTCTTTAAAAAATCCACGCCTTGTTTAGGTCCTTGAGAAAATATTCTTTAAAAAATCCACGCCTTGTTTAGGTCCTTGAGAAAATATTCTTTAAAAAATCCACGCCTTGTTTAGGTCCTTGAGAAAATATTCTTTAAAAAATCCACGCCTTGTTTAGGTCCTTGAGAAAATATTCTTTAAAAAATCCACGCCTTGTTTAGGTCCTTGAGAAAATATTCTTTAAAAAATCCACGCCTTGTTTAGGTCCTTGAGAAAATATTCTTTAAAAAATCCACGCCTTGTTTAGGTCCTTGAGAAAATATTCTTTAAAAAATCCACGCCTTGTTTAGGTCCTTGAGAAAATATTCTTTAAAAAATCCACGCCTTGTTTAGGTCCTTGAGAAAATATTCTTTAAAAAATCCACGCCTTGTTTAGGTCCTTGAGAAAATATTCTTTAAAAAATCCACGCCTTGTTTAGGTCCTTGAGAAAATATTCTTTAAAAAATCCACGCCTTGTTTAGGTCCTTGAGAAAATATTCTTTAAAAAATCCACGCCTTGTTTAGGTCCTTGAGAAAATATTCTTTAAAAAATCCACGCCTTGTTTAGGTCCTTGAGAAAATATTCTTTAAAAAATCCACGCCTTGTTTAGGTCCTTGAGAAAATATTCTTTAAAAAATCCACGCCTTGTTTAGGTCCTTGAGAAAATATTCTTTAAAAAATCCACGCCTTGTTTAGGTCCTTGAGAAAATATTCTTTAAAAAATCCACGCCTTGTTTAGGTCCTTGAGAAAATATTCTTTAAAAAATCCACGCCTTGTTTAGGTCCTTGAGAAAATATTCTTTAAAAAATCCACGCCTTGTTTAGGTCCTTGAGAAAATATTCTTTTAAAAATCCACGCCTTGTTTAGGTCCTTGAGAAAATATTCTTTAAAAAATCCACGCCTTGTTTAGGTCCTTGAGAAAATATTCTTTAAAAAATCCACGCCTTGTTTAGGTCCTTGAGAAAATATTCTTTAAAAAATCCACGCCTTGTTTAGGTCCTTGAGAAAATATTCTTTAAAAAATCCACGCCTTGTTTAGGTCCTTGAGAAAATATTCTTTAAAAAATCCACGCCTTGTTTAGGTCCTTGAGAAAATATTCTTTAAAAAATCCACGCCTTGTTTAGGTCCTTGAGAAAATATTCTTTAAAAAATCCACGCCTTGTTTAGGTCCTTGAGAAAATATTCTTTAAAAAATCCACGCCTTGTTTAGGTCCTTGAGAAAATATTCTTTAAAAAATCCACGCCTTGTTTAGGTCCTTGAGAAAATATTCTTTAAAAAATCCACGCCTTGTTTAGGTCCTTGAGAAAATATTCTTTAAAAAATCCACGCCTTGTTTAGGTCCTTGAGAAAATATTCTTTAAAAAATCCACGCCTTGTTTAGGTCCTTGAGAAAATATTCTTTAAAAAATCCACGCCTTGTTTAGGTCCTTGAGAAAATATTCTTTAAAAAATCCACGCCTTGTTTAGGTCCTTGAGAAAATATTCTTTAAAAAATCCACGCCTTGTTTAGGTCCTTGAGAAAATATTCTTTAAAAAATCCACGCCTTGTTTAGGTCCTTGAGAAAATATTCTTTAAAAAATCCACGCCTTGTTTAGGTCCTTGAGAAAATATTCTTTAAAAAATCCACGCCTTGTTTAGGTCCTTGAGAAAATATTCTTTAAAAAATCCACGCCTTGTTTAGGTCCTTGAGAAAATATTCTTTAAAAAATCCACGCCTTGTTTAGGTCCTTGAGAAAATATTCTTTAAAAAATCCACGCCTTGTTTAGGTCCTTGAGAAAATATTCTTTAAAAAATCCACGCCTTGTTTAGGTCCTTGAGAAAATATTTTTTAAAAAATCCACGCCTTGTTTAGGTCCTTGAGAAAATATTCTTTAAAAAATCCACGCCTTGTTTAGGTCCTTGAGAAAATATTCTTTAAAAAATCCACGCCTTGTTTAGGTCCTTGAGAAAATATTCTTTAAAAAATCCACGCCTTGTTTAGGTCCTTGAGAAAATATTCTTTAAAAAATCCACGCCTTGGTTGATAGGTCCTTGAGAAAAAAATCCACGCCTTGGTTGATAGGTCCTTGAGAAAAAATTCTTTAAAAAATCTACGCCTTGGTTGATAGGTCCTTGAGAAAAAAATCCACGCCTTGGTTGATAGGTCCTTGAGAAAAAAATTCGTTAAAAAATCCACGCCTTGGTTGATAGGTCCTTGAGAAAGAATTCTTTAAAAAATCCACGCCTTGGTTGATAGGTCCTTGAGAAAAAATTCTTTAAAAAATCCACGCCTTGGTTGATAGGTCCTTGAGAAAGAATTCTTTAAAAAATCCACGCCTTGGTTGATAGGTCCTTGAGAAAAAATTCTTTAAAATATCTTGGTTGATAGGTCCTTGAGAAAATATTCTTTTAAAAATCCACGCCTTGGTTGGTTAGTCCTTGAGAAAATATTGTTTAAAAAATCCGCACTCTTGGATCTATGATAATCCTTTAATTGACATCCCTATGTGCCGCATCCCACAAAAAAACACATAGAAGAAAAGCTATCGGAGTTGTTAGCTGTTGTAAAAGAGGCGAGGAATAAAAAAATCTACAAAATAAGTTGGTCATACTCGCAGAACGAAGTCAAGTTGAACTGATTTGCTGTCAGCAGCCTCATGGGGATTTGTTACAGTTTTTCATCTTTCCTTTATTTTTTATTTCATTTTGAATGTGAGGGTGTGTTTACATGTGTATGTGAATAAGTGTGAGACTTTTTATAAAATGTTCGCTCGCCCAAACCTCGGTTACGCTTTGGATATTTATGGCTACACTGAAATTTATATTTAAGAATTCTGTTTTACCACATCTTCGCTTTTCATCTTCGTCGCCAGCCTTTGGCAGTGGAACTCTCCACTCCGCTCCACACACACACACCCGCATTTGCACATTTATTTACTCCTGTAAAAGGGAATTTTAAGTGAATGTTGAGTTAGACGAGCACTGATAACAACTCCCAGCATTCATGGGTAAACTGCTAAGAGGTTTCCTGGCCGGAAACATGCAGTTCTTTTCTTTACATCGTTTCGTTATGCCTCAAAGTGGCAAAAGGGGAGATGGAGAAAAAGGAAAACATCACAGCTATTATAGGAATGACATTAATCGTCAATTTTTTTAAAGAACCGATTTTTTAAAGGATTATTGCGGAATTTATATATTTCGATATATTTGTCAAGGACCAGTCCAACAAGGCGTGGATTTTTTAAAGAATATTTTTTTCAAGGACCAGTCCAACAAGGCGTGGATTTTTTAAAGAATATTTTTTTCAAGGACCAGTCCAACAAGGCGTGGATTTTTTAAAGAATATTTTTTTCAAGGACCAGTCCAACAAGGCGTGGATTTTTTAAAGAATATTTTTTTCAAGGACCAGTCCAACAAGGCGTGGATTTTTTAAAGAATATTTTTTTCAAGGACCAGTCCAACAAGGCGTGGATTTTTTAAAGAATATTTTTTTCAAGGACCAGTCCAACAAGGCGTGGATTTTTTAAAGAATATTTTTTTCAAGGACCAGTCCAACAAGGCGTGGATTTTTTAAAGAATATTTTTTTCAAGGACCAGTCCAACAAGGCGTGGATTTTTTAAAGAATATTTTTTTCAAGGACCAGTCCAACAAGGCGTGGATTTTTTAAAGTCCAGTCCAACAAGGCGTGGATTTTTTAAAGAATATTTTTTTCAAGGACCAGTCCAACAAGGCGTGGATTTTTTAAAGAATATTTTTTTCAAGGACCAGTCCAACAAGGCGTGGATTTTTTAAAGAATATTTTTTTCAAGGACCAGTCCAACAAGGCGTGGATTTTTTAAAGAATATTTTTTTCAAGGACCAGTCCAACAAGGCGTGGATTTTTTAAAGAATATTTTTTTCAAGGACCAGTCCAACAAGGCGTGGATTTTTTAAAGAATATTTTTTTCAAGGACCAGTCCAACAAGGCGTGGATTTTTTATTTATATTTTTAAAAGACTTATCCCCTTAGTAATTAATATCCCCATTTTATGCCTCCCATTATTTAACGAAATCATTGCAAACTATTATTAATTGTTGACATCCTGACATTTCCAAATACCCCACTCTTCCTCGATGTCATCGTGTATCTCAGGGAGTCATTTTAATTACACATTTCCTTCTCTTCATCACTCTGCAGACAAAATGATGTCAATTAATTCATTGACTGGCTGAAATATGGAAATTTTTGCCCAATTATGGTAGTAACTTTACCAACCGGCTCCACAACTCAAGATGATGGTGGTGCTGCCGGCTCAAGGTAGGTACAACAAAGGAGCAGTGACAACAGCAGCATCAAGAAATCCATCATTATGTCGACCCAAATGGCAAGGCATGGATTCATTATAGACTTCGTAAATCAGATGTTCGTGTGTGTGAGTGTGTCTGTGACAAACGTAACGCTACATGGCGGTACGTAGCGATGGTACGAGCAGTCATGCAAAGCTTGCTTCCCATCTTTAGTCGTTCTGCCAAGTTAATGGGCAGGGAATCCTTTAATCCCTTTGAATGTGAATCGTGACTGGAATTTGTGTCAGTCGTTAAGGTAGGCAAAAGGAGATTCTTTGGCGTTGCCCTACACTACTGCCAAGATGCACTGAGATGCGAAAGATGTGAGATGTTCTCCTCAAGGTACGTCACACGAAGTTTGTTACTTTTTGACTGCATTTGGAAGCCATTCAGTCGGTGAGTGAGTGAATGAATGAGTGCGTTTGTTTATACAACTCTCAAACGGCCGTGCTTTGAGCGGATGTTCGTCTGTTTAACTCTAATATATTCTATCCATTTGTGTCTGTGTGTGCCATTTGTCTTCTTCCATTGCCATTACTTTTGCCTCCGGCATCGTTTGGAACAATTGTGGCTGCCTGACTGGTTTGGCAAAAGTGTGTCATCATTTGCAATAGCGTCGTGACACGATAACATTCAAAAGCATTGTCGGATAAAAATGAATGACTATCAGCTAAGAGATGTCTTAAGGCCGAAGGACGACGTTGATTCGGCGGTGCATTCGACAGGGGTTCTCGTTTATTTTTATGGATCTTTAAATATGATGGATATCAGATTTTGTATTGCTTAATGGCGAACAATTTCGGTGTCTTAATTCAGTTAGGTCATTTGCAGGTGATTAGCGGACTTTTGGCTGATGGATGAGAAGGTTTTTTCAAAAGTATTTAAAAAAAAATTCACACCTAGGGCTTAGGGCTTTGACAAAATATTTTAAAAAAATCTAAGCCTTATTTTGGGCTTTGAAAAAAAATCTTTAAAAAATCCAAGCCTAGTTTTGGGCTTTGAAAAAAATTTAAAGATATTCTTTACAAAATCCACGCCTTCAAAAAAAAATTTTTTTTTAAAAATTCAAGCTTTTTTGGGCTCTGAAAAACAAAATCCACGTCTTTACTGACCTTTGCATTAATATTTTTATTTGCATCCATTGGCTTCCTTTTAAAATAACATAGAGTAACGCCTTTAGTAATGTAAAACCGCCTCCTGACATCATTTGCATTGCCACACGCCATTCCCTCAGACACACCCTCTTTGCCAAATGACATCTGACAGCTGAAACATCTGATTATTGAGTATCGATTACTCATTGTGTGTGACGACGACAAAAATAATTTTAATCATTTTCAATAGTTTTTTTTCTGATGGAAAACAAAAACAATTGTGTAAATATTTATTTTAAATTGTTAGCCGACAATTGATAAGGAAACAAATCAAAGATATTTGTGTGTGGAAAAAGAGTTCGTTTACATTGAGAAATTCTTGGTATCCGCTGGCAAAGAGCAGAGAAAACCGATAACAAGGGTATGTCGAATTGTGATCATCATTTTGTGATTTGGGGACAGTGGATTTTTGCTTCAAGATAAAATCAATTTTAGAATAAAAATACATAAAATAATTTCTGTTTCTTGTGCTATAGGACATGTCCGGCGAAAATAATGATTATACAAAAGAAATTGCAGCGTCCAGCGTAAGTACTTCACTGAGAAAAAAAAACAAATTCCCTTAGACCCCGGCATATATTATAAAAAGAACACATCATTCATTCATTTCTGTTCTGTATTCTTCTAGATACGTTCTGGTTTGGCTGAATTAGAATTGAAAACGTCACAGGTTTTGCAACGTTTGGAAAATGTTAAAGCAGTACCCGTTGAAACACCACCCGATGGCGCACCCACTGAGGCAATGGATCAACTAACATTGGATGAACGCAGTGCTGCCCTGCAACAACAACAAAACTCTGCCAATAACACCACTACGCCCACTCGTGTGGCCCAACAATTACATGGCATACGCAAGCCACCCTCAGAGATTCTCAAATCATTGGAACTGCTTATCTCCTATTCAGATTCCGATGAAGATCCTGAATTTCCCCTACCCGCACTGGATGATGTTTCACATTTGGCATTGATATCACACAGCATTGTTGCCTATCTTTCACATTTGGATGCTAAACAATTGGTGCGGGTTACACGAAGTATTGCTGGCGATACAACCCATTGGCTAGGGACATTGTTCCGTTTTATGGACCCCTCCAGTAGCTTTCACAATGATAATGCTGATGCAATATTACGTGTCGTCCGACTGGCCATTGTTGCCCGTTGTCCAGGCTATTTGGAGGGTGGTATACCCGCCTTGGCTCATCCATGTTTATATATTTCGGAAAATACAACACCAATGCGTTTGCAATATGCCTGTCGTCAATTGGGTATACCATTGGATGCAATACGTCTAATACCGGGTAATACCACATTTGGTACAATGGATTTGTCTGTACTACAGCGCCAGATACAAATCGATTTGCAATCGAATCGTACCCCACTATTGGTCATAGCTGATGTGGGGGCCTCCCTGTGTGGCTATGTGGATAATATTATGCGCATGCATGAGATTTGTAAGGCAAATAATCTTTGGCTACATGCCACAGGTCATGGGCTGGCGGCTTTAGTTTGTTCTCAAGGACCGGGGGTGGTGAGTAGAAAGGAATAAAAATAGACGGTAATAAGATGTTTAATGTTTTCACTTTTCAGATAAGTTCATTGGTTGATTCCATAACTTTGTCCCTGGGCAGTTGGTTGGGTATACCAAGTTTGCCCATTGTGGTAGGTTTGAGAATAGAAAAGAAATTGAAGAATATATTTGATAGTAATATTTTTTATATTTTACAGTTACTACACCGCCAGCTGAATAATTCAGCACTCAATGCATTTGACCAGGATCCCATATTGTCAAGGCGCCTTAATTCCTTGGCCTTGTGGACTAGCTTACAGGCCTTAGGCCGTGATGCTATTGCCGAACGTATACATGTAGCTTTCCAGACATGCAGTATCCTTTTCGAAATGGTTTCCGAATGTGAAGGTATTAAAGTTGTGGTATGTATCAATATCATGGATTCAAATATGCACAACGTACCTCAAACAGTTTTGAAGAATTAAAATTGAACAGCTCTTCTTCAAAATTGAAAAAGTGGTAACCGTGAGAAATCCAACTCCAAATATTTGTTATGACGTTATTGGTAAGTCGTTAGACGCAGCATCGTATCTCTATTGACACAAAGATAACACTGACATATTAAGTGCTGCGTTTTTAACATGAACTACTTTTGATTATTAGAAAACATCACAATTATTTTACTGTTCATGTTTTGTTTTGATATGTATTTTGTATGGCCCCCTACCATGAAGAGATTGGTATATTGATTTGAATGTTATTTTTAAAGAATAATTTATCGAGGCCTATCACGGAAAAATGTGCAGATTTTTAAGGAATGTTTTTCGAGCCCATCTTTGTAAAAAGTGCGGTTTTTTTTAATCATATTTTTTCAAAGATTACAACAAATATAAGTGCGAAATTTTTTAAGAATATTGGTCAAGGCTGGCCACCGCAAAAAGAATAAGAATATTTTTGCAAAACCTTTAACAACTGCAAGCGTGAATTTTGAAGGAATATTTGTCAAGGCCCATCAGAAACTGCGGATTTTTAATAAATCACAGTAAAGTTTGCGGATTTTGTAAAGGAATATTTTTCAAGGCTCATATAAGTAGAGATTTTGAAATAAAATTTTTGTTCATCCTATAATTTCTTTTACTAATAACTTGTTTTTTTTTTTCTTCTTACAGAGCCGTCCACCAGGAGCTCAATCTGGAAAAACTTTATCCGATGTGATTAACAAACCTTTAGATGTGAATGTAAGTATTTTAAATATCCCAAGGAATAAATCATCAAATTCTAATCAACATCTATTTTCAGTTGCTCTTCGAAACTGCCGCTCCTGTGGTGGTTTTCCAATTCGATGGCAGTGTTACCGTATCAGCAAACACAACAGCAGACAACAATACAAGTCATGGTTCGGATGAAATCAAACCTCTGGAAAAAGTTAGCAATCCCTCATATTTTGATCGTTTAAATTCATGGTTGGGGCAGATACTACAAAGGGATTGTCCAAATGTAAGTGATTTTAAAGTTATTTCAAACTCGATTTACAAATTTCTCTCCCCCTTTTAGTTTGATTTTGAAATAATTGAGCATGCCACTCATGGCACCTGCATACGTTATTGCCCGTTGGAGTTGAGTTTGGGCGAACAACCGCCCACAGCAAAGAACCTAGAAAGTTTAGCTCAAAGTCTAGAGACGCATGTGGATATTTTAAGAGCCACCATCAAGCACAAAGCCACCTTTATGTATTTGGTTGAGAAAAGTGATGTTTTGCGTTTCGTTAATCTACCCGATTGGGCTGGTATGGGTGGTGTACGATTTGTACCCGATGGCTGGGAATCGTTGTTAACGGATCAAGCTAAGACGGAGTTAAATAAATTAAATGCTGATTTGGTGGAATCGCTGAAGGCCACCGATAATGCATTCTCTTTGGGTGAAGGTCCTGATGGTCTCATATGTGTACGTTTTGGTATGGTGACACATGAAACGGATGTTGATGAATTGCTCGATTTGGTCGTGTCGGTGGGCCGGAATGTCCAGGAGAATTCACGGGTATTGGATACAATGTCGGAAATTGTGAAAAGGGTAAGATGGCAAAGGGTGAACTTTTTTAGAAATTATTATCAATTGTGTTTTGTTTGCTTTTAGGGTATTGAGGCCGCCACGGCAGACCTGCAGCGAGAAAGTGAGGAGAAACTGTGGCAAGAAGGTATTTTACGTCACGTTCCGGTTGTGGGCAGAGTATTTAACTGGTGGTCTCCCCCACCCAAAGAAACTGGTATTAAAGGACGTAGCCTAAATTTGACACAGGGTGTTGTTGAATCTACCGAAAATATTTACAAGTAATGAACAAATTCTCCCATTAATGAATTTAAAAAAAAAATAATATTTTTTATTTAATTCCCAGATACCACATGCAAATCTCGGCTACCCACAATCAATTGCCGGCAAATAAATCACCACCCACACCCATGGTGCAGACACCACTTATTAATCCAGCCGATAAAGTGCCTCCAGTATTTCCTAGTACTTCTGGGTCCACCACCAATAATTCACCAACTTCGCAGAAGTCACTTAGTGATGAGGCTTCAGCATCGCCCACAAAAACTGGCAATGGCGCCCCCGCAACCACAACAGCAGCTGCTGGTGCTGCAGTTGGCAATCCCGATGATGTTGGACATAATCGTAATGTTAGTCAAAGTAGTGCTGCTTCTTCGGTACCAGAATTGGTGGCAATTAATAATAATAATAGTGCAATTAATAATACTAGCGAAACAACAAACATACCAACAACAAATGAAAATAGCAAATCATAAAAATCTCTCTCCTCCGTCAAATGTATTGATGAAACTCTCCCTACTTTAACAACTGTCTATGGTTTAACGTTTGTGCTTGTTCGCAACTTCTTCCTTTTCTCTCTCCTTTTTTATCTCGTTTTCAACTATGCAACATTGCGCACCACCCCCGACTCACTCTCACACACACACCTACACCACAGTCACCTACAATCTTATGCTTCCTTGACTTTTCAAATGCATCAATGCAAATGCAGCTTTATAATAAGTCCAGGTAAAGTTAGATAAATGTATGGCCCATAATTGTGTGGAGGGGTCCTCTCTGAACATTTTTTTAAATAGTAAAGAAGCACGTATGTAGTTCATTTTTTAATGGAGTTGGACCATCAAGGGCAATTACAATATACACTACAAAACAAAAGAAAAATTACCAATATTTATATAAAAAACAACAACAGCAAAATCGTAAACAAATAGTATATTATTTTTATCGTATTGTATTATTATATCTATGATTAGAAAGTGATTTATTTTTTTCTCAGCTTTCTTTAAAACGTTCCATTTTTAATTTATATAAATTATAAAAAAAATCGAAAAAAAACAAAATATAAATAACAACAAAGAAAATGTTAATCTTAAAGATTAAAAGCTAAATAAATATTTGATGCTATTACAGTTTGATTAGTAATTGTGGAGTGTTTTATTTTTTTTTAGCGAAAATCAAAGGATTTATAACAGTCGAAGGTACAGTGGGTTGTGTTGTTATAACTATTGAAAAATTAATTTTAAAAATCCATTAGTGATCCTTGAAAAATTAATTTAAAAAATCCACGCCTATTATTGACCCTTGAAAATTAATTTAAAACAAGTGAAAAATGTTAAGTACGGCCGGGCCGAACTTTGGATACCCTCCACCATAGATATACTGACAGGTACTTGAAATAAAAATATAGGGAAAATACCAAAAATTGGACTCATACCGACATTTCTACAAACCGATTATGTAAACCATGATACAAATTTCGAAAATTTTTAATGGATAATTATACCCTCAGCCTTATGGCTAATGAGGGTGCATACACGGTGAAAATGAGCCTCATCAAAATATTAGTTCTAGACCCCATGTTTCATTGGACCAAATTTGTTTCAGAAAATTTTGATTTCATCCAAACTTTGCCCATTTTATTATTTCTTCCAAACTTAGTTCAAGTTCGAAGATGGGGAATATCGGTCCACTCCATCTGGTACCTCCCACAGAGGGGCTAGGCCTAAATTCGGGTTATATTTCATTATCGAAACTTACGTTCTAGTTTTTTATGTCGATATCCTCCGCAGGTGAAATGATTGCAACAGAGTCTTAGAACCAAACCCAAAACGCGGAACAAATTAGATAACTATTTTAATATAAAGGGGGCGAATATTAACAATTTTTGGTGGGGAGATTTGTTACCATATACGACTACAAAATACCAACGCATTCGGTAGAAAAACGCGATCAAGAACCCCAAAATACAGAAAATTGGGGGTACCAGTATATGGGGGCTATCAAAAAAAAATTGGATCTATATTCATAATTTTTTGTGGGGAGATTGGGTACCTATTAAGAATTAAGAAGTTCTTAATAGGTACCCAATCAAAATTGAAATTTAGGAAGTAACGTTATATGGAGGCTACCAAAAAAGGTGGACCTATATTCATAATTTTTTGTGGAGACATTTAGTACCCAATACAAACATTTAGTACCCAATTTTAGCAAATTCGGATGAAAAACGCGCTCAAGAACAGCAAAATACCGAAAATTGGGGGGTACCGTTATATGGGAGCTGTGCCTAAACGGGGACCGATATATCCCATCTTCGAACTTGACCTACATGCAAACCTATGCAAAATTACAGAATCCTATCTTAATTCTTTCTGAAGATAGCGTGATTACAACAGATGGACGGACATGGCTAGATCGTCTTAGAATTTTACCCTGATCAAGAATATATATACTTTATAGGGTCGGTAATGAATATTTCGATGATCCAAAATCCACGCCAATTGGTAGCCCTTTAAAAATTAGTTTAAAAAAATATCCTTATTGGTAGCTTTTGGAAAATTTATTTCAAAAATCCACGCCAATTGGTAGCACTTTAAAAATTAATTTAAAAAAAATCCATACCTATTGATAGCCCTTAAAAAAATAAATTCCGCGCTTATTGGTGGCCTGAATATAATTTTAATTAAAAAAATCGATTTAGGAACTAGCCACCTTATCCTTCCAAATGATATTTATTTCATATAAATACGACCATTATTACGAAAATTACAGCCATTTAAAGAATCAACCCAGCAGAATAGCATTGCAATTCAATTGTGTGCATGCCCAATCAGATCCATCCACATTAACCAGATGATTCTAACACGAAAGCACACAACGACAACAACAACAGTATTTGCCATGAGCATAGGTGCCCATCAGTATACTTTAAAGTAGCTGCCTACTCACACGCATTGTTATGCTCTTTCAGTCAGTCGTTGTTTGACAGGCAACGAATGAACACATACTGGGGTGCGCGCACGACGTCGTGTCCGCAGAACTAGAAAATCAACGAAATAACACTTAGGGATAAAAGTGTTTCAGTATATTTGGATTTTTATTTTATTATTTGTATGTTTAAAAAATTTCAAAAGCAACAGAACAATTTCTGTTTTTTTTTAAAGAATTAAATATTTGATAATTATCGTAGTATTTAATATTATAATATGATTATTATCTCGGTATATGCTACTTTAAAAACTTTATTAGATTTTTATGACATATACACTTTGTAATTCATATAAAAACATTTTTAATAATGCTTTTATTTTATATAATAACAAAAATTGAATTCATCAATAATTTTTTCCGACCACAAAAATCCACACACAATTTTGTTCAGTACTGTTCTGTTTTCTCTCACACATACTAATGCATTTTAATTTTGGGCACCTATGGCCATGAGCATCTACCACCAATTACCACCCACTCTATGGAGCATAACAATATCACAGTAAAAGACCAGAGAACAAAACACAGAGAGGTACAGAGAGAAGTATATGTGTACTCTCCATACTCATTATCCCATAATGAGAACATTTAACATCAATAAACAGTAACAACAACAAACATTGACTGGCGCCTTTTTCTTGGGAAATTGCAAATAATATTCTTGTTCTTACCTTTCAATTATGGACTCGCCTTTTCTTGCAAAACAAAAAGATATTGAATAAAATATATTGTCCTTTTAGAAAATGCAAACGCGATTGTAAAAACCCCGAATAAATAACGACACACAATCTTAAAATTAATTTTTATCGCAACGATTTGGACAAGGAAACGAAATAGAACATCGGTAGGAAGTAAAAGACTTGACTACTACAACAAACACGGTTAAGGCAAAGCGGCACACGATATAAATTGATTTTTTTATTAAATTCACTCGCGAGCAAAAAATGGGCTTTTACCGAGCTATTTATTGAATATTTTTGCAAAACTAATATTAAAATTCGATCGGTTTTATATTGTATAGGAACTTCCGCAACCGCACTTCACGACATTTAAAGAAGAACTAAAGTCGAGTAATTTCCGAGAACAATGAATGGATCAAAGTTTGGAGAGTTGCTCCACTCTACCTATAAAGAGAACCAATTGGCAAACTCCATTGCAGTACGCACTCACACACAGAGTTGTTGGTGTGTGGAGATGTCATGAGATGCAAAATTAAAATTCAAATTAGAACAGGCTCGGGCAGAGGGCCGTTCTTATGTGCCTTTTTACACACAAATTATTCTCAATGAGAGCACGCCTGCGGCGGTTTGTCTGATACTGAATTAGAATTCCCAAAATACAGGTAATGCGTGCGGCGGTTTGTCTGATGCTGAATTCCAACTCCCCAAATAGCAACAATAATGACAATTTAGCGATTTTTTTGCAGTTTAACGTTTTTAGTTTTCTTGGGAATGAAAACATTAATTAAAAAAATATTATTTCAAGGGCCACAACATGGCACAACAATTAAAAAAATATTTAAAAAATTAAGAAAAATATTTGAAACTATTCCTTCGTTGAAAAAAATTAAAATAACAAACTCCTATAATAGTCCTTGAAATTTTATAAAAAAAACCAAAGCTATATTTACGGCTTGAAATATAATTTTAAAAAATCCCCACGTATAAAAATAAGTCTTTATTAATTTTTTTTAATATTCAAAAAAAATGGATTCAATAAGCTTTGAAAAACTAATATTAAAAATCCACATCCACATTACCGGGTTAACCTACTTTATGAGGATTTATTTGATATATATACAATGAATTTGACAATTAAAACCCACTAGGTTAACGAAATCCGGTACAATCTAAACGTACTTTAGGCCTTGAAAAATAATTTAAAACAAATCAGGCTTATAAAAGTAATAAAAAATCTTTTATTAATCCTTTTTTTACAATCCAAAAAAAAATATGTTTACTAAATATATTTATATATTATATATTTATCCTTTCAAAAGCTTTTTATTTTACATAAATACGACCATTATTTACAGAGATACAGTCATTTAAAGAATCAAGCCAACAACATACCACTGCAATTCAATAATATGCGTGCTGAATCAAGAAACAAGCAAATAGAGATCCTCTCCCCACTCACTTGAACAACAACACCAGTGTTACCGTTGGGAATTTCAAAAAAGTTGCACAAAAAGTCGTTCCCTTGAAAAAAAGTCGCACAGTTAAGTAAAATTGTCAATAAAACTGTTCTTAGAATATGTCAGATTCCCTTGGACCTCAAAAACGAAGTAGACGAGTCAAAATAAGTTTGAATAACTTAAGAAAATAACTTAAGAAAAACAGAAAAGTCGCACAAAGCTTAAAAAGTTGCAAACAGAGTTACAGAGCATCAAAAAGGTTGCAAATTGCGACTTTAGTCGCACAACGGTAACCCTGAACAACACTACAATGTGAGCAATGTGAAACAATCAACAATAGTATTTGCTATG